CGTTTTTACCTCTTGTAATGCACAGACCGAACCGCCCGCGCGCTCAGATCACTTGGACGTGACTGTGGTTACAAGAGGTAAAAACGATATAAATACTGTTCGTTTTCTCACACAAACCGCTCGTTTCGTGTCTTAGGCCATCAATGTGTACTTACATTTACGAGTCATTAAATCATGTTTAATTTGGACTTTTCTGTGCATGCTCTTTGAGGTGGTGACCATAGACCTGCATTATATGACTGACAGACAAGAACGGTTTGACCTAAAAATATCAAAATTGAAACTACTGCGGAAACAAAGACACCTACATCTTGGATGCCCTTGAGGTAAGCTAAAACCTATCAAAAATTAATTTCAAAGTGAACTATCCCTTTAAAGGGTCGATCAAAAGGTGTTTATCGACTGTATTACAAAACTGCAAAACACTTCAAATATCTTCTTTACAGCTTTGGCGAGTAACTAAAATAATTTCAATTAAATGTTTTATACTATAAGAATTACCACAATTTCAAATGATATAAAACTGATATTTTATTTCAAACGTGTAGTGCTAATGAGAGGAAACTATTCACAATAACCACTAAAATAGTTTACATGCATCAAAAAGTGAAAAAAATCTAAAGCAAGCTAATTAATAAACATTTTCACAAGTTAAAAATCACAAGAGTATTTATTCCCTACTAGAGAGTTCTAATTTCAGAATGAGTGTAGTAATGTAGCCGAGGCAAAATATTCACTCAGTATCAAATGAATTTATATTACTTGTAAATATAACAGACCTCAGGAGGATATTCAACGAGAGCTGGCGACTTCGGGTGACACGAGTGACAGAGAGCTTCCCGTACACAGCAACTGACGACATTTAGAGACAAAACTGCTGACGGTGTGAATGCGGCGCAAGTCAAGTCACCTTTATTTATATAGAGCTTTTTACAATACAGGTTGTTTAAAGCAGCTTTACAGTGATAACAGGAAAATAATGCAACAAAGATTGTTTTGGCTGTGCAGGAGCTCTAGAAGAAAGTCATAGCCTATCGTCTGGCTTAAGTTTTTAATTGATTCATTTCCGTTGTAAAAATCATTAGTTATTAACTGCTAACACGACACTGTTTTAACTGATCGCCAGTTTTTTGGCGATCATTTTATCGTTATTCCTTTTTGAACAAAGAATGAAGAGAGTCTTTGAACTTCAGTCTATTCGTTTTTCGTTTATAAACCAAAAACGGAAGTCACGTGGTCTATTCCTTTTTTGGAAGCGAAAGTAACCGGTAACACTTTCAAAATAAAAGTAACTATAATTAGCGAGGTGATTGTAGACTAAAACTGAACTAATATAACGGTTTTTTATTACAACTAAAGTAGCACTGGGTGTGAAAAAAAAAACACTTTAGTTAACTGAAATAAAAATTAAAACTAATAAAATAATAACTCTTAATAAAATTAAACATTTGTAAGACCATTGGTGACCTCTGTAACTTCAGATTAAGACAAGTGAACTCATTTTATATGTAGCTTAGGATAGCAGGTAGCCTATTTATTTATAAGTTTCTATTATTTAATTCACATTTTAGTTTTGTAACATATTTATAGCCCTTCTTGCTCTGTGGAAGCTCAACCAGCAGAGGTCGGTCAGGGGCTCTTTCTGTGGCGACAACAGGCAACAAGGGTTTGACCTTTTGACCTGCCTTCCAGCTCCTCTTTCTATGGCACTATAGCTGCTAAAAACTCTCAGCTTCCACCATCTACTGTTACCCCTTCTGTGTCAAAACAAAACTCTTCCAAAACAAATCTATAAAGTTGTATACTTTTTATTTTCCTTTGTATTTTTCTCCAGTGTAATATACTTATTATGTTAGTTAAATAGATTAAATATTTTGTATGCAGCTTGTAGTTCTCATTAGTTATGTAGACCTACTTGTGTGTGAAACCTAGCATTACTCAGTCAAAAATGATCTCTAGCTCTGGGACTTTCAGATCTTTTAGTGCTTTTTTGGGTTTAATAAAGAATAACAACAATACATTTAAATAAACAACTTAATGAAAAGCATAAAGAATAGTTGTGACAACTAAAAAAAAATTGTTTGGGTGAATGTTCAATTTTAACCATAAACATAATAGTAGTATTGTTTGGTAGGCTGGTGATAAAGGAAAATCAACCACTAATTTGTGCCCTGGTCACTCTTTTTAACAGTTTCCATTACACTCCATTTAGTGGCACTTGTGTCCCACTATTTCCAACAGAAGCATTACTAGTGACACTGGGTGCCGCACTTGTAGCACCAAAGTCACAATTAGTCTTAGTACACACTTATTTCAATATCCAATTCCACAAAAGTAGTGCCACAATTCAAAGATGTGGCTTACCATAAGCCATGATGTAAATATCTGAAAGTGACAACAAGGCCCTTTTATGGTGCCGGAGGAAGGAGTGGTGTGCTGCTTTGTCCTGCCAGTCCAGCATTTATTTGAAGAGAGAGATGGTAGGTGACTGGGGCCAGTCTTGCTGTACTATCATCAGTCCTTAAACCCTGCACAGAGTGCACAGGCTCACATCCTCCAGGTATTGGGTCAAATCTGGAAGGTCCTGAGATGAGTACCTAAATGATTTAACTTCACTTTTATTTTACTTTACACAAGTACCAAGCGTACAGAGCACTGCCTTTCCCTGGTGGTTCATCAAACAGAATTAAACCCCAAAAAGCACTAAAAGATCTGAAAGTCCCAGAGCTAGAGATCATTTTTGACTGAGTAATGCTAGGTTTCACACACAAGTAGGTCTACATAACTAATGAGAACTACAAGCTGCATACAAAATATTTCATCTACTTAACTAACATAATAAGTATATTACAGTGGAGAAAAATGCAAAGGAAAATAAAAAGTATACAACTTTATAGATTTGTTTTGGAAGAGTTTTGTTTTGACACAGAAGGGGTAACAGTAGATGGTGGAAGCTGAGAGTTTTTAGCAGCTATAGTGCCATAGAAAGAGGAGCTGGAAGGCAGGTCAAAAGGTCAAACCCTTGTTGCCTGTTGTCGCCACAGAAAGAGCCCCTGACCGACCTCTGCTGGTTGAGCTTCCACAGAGCAAGAAGGGCTATAAATATGTTACAAAACTAAAATGTGAATTAAATAATAGAAACTTATAAATAAATAGGCTACCTGCTATCCTAAACTACATATAAAATGAGTTCACTTGTCATAATCTGAAGTTACAGAGGTCACCAATGGTCTTACAAATGTTTAATTTGAGTTATTATTTTATTAGTTTTAATTTTTATTTCAGTTAACTAAAGTGTTTTTTCACACCCAGTGCTACTTTAGTTGTACTAAAAAACGTTATTTAAGTTCAGTTTTAGTCTACAATCACCTCGCTAACTAGTTACTTTTATTTTGAAAGTGTTACCGGTTACTTTCGCGTCCAAAAAAGGAATAGACCACGTGACTTCCGTTTTTGGTTTATAAACGAAAAACGAATTGACTGAAATTCAAAGACTCCTCTTCATTCTTTGTTCAAAAAGAATTAATGATAAATTGATCGCCAAAAACGAAAAACGGGCCGTTTTTAATTGGTTTTTCGTTTTTTGATTCTTACACCAAAAACGGTTATTTGGTTTTTCGTTTTGAAACAAAAAACAGAAAAACGGTATTTTCGTTTTATAATTACAAACGAATTACGGATTATCCAGAGATCCCCTGACCGTTATCATCTCCATGTTAACTTCAAAATAGTGAATCTTTGCAAACGGTGACGGCATGCAAAGTCTATAGGCATGCGCGGTTGAATGCGTATGTGCTAGGGCGCGTAGTCTGTCAAAGTGCAATTGCCAATTGACCCTTCGCTAAGCCCCGCCCTCCTTAGTTACTGTTGCTACGCCTGTCAAGCTTTCGCGGCTGCCACGTCTATTACAGTGTGAATGCACTGGTGTCAGACGTTCCCAAGGAGATATTTAGTCATTTTTGGCGAACAAGTGAAATATCTGAGAGAGCAAGACAAAAGGGTAGGCAGTATGCATTCGACGGATATATCCACGACATAATATGCAACCGATTAGAGAATAATTTCATCAAAATTGAAGCTAAAGCCTATAACGTTAGGTCCCAGCGCAAGCAGCAGCCGCCTCCTTAGCAGACCATTCAAATGGGAAACACACAAATTGAACAGCTATGTTAATGCACAGCAGAGTAAGTGAAATGTGAAAATAATCTAATATCAAATCAATTTAAATCAAAAAGCTTATCAATCTAACACCGGGAGAGCTGCGATCGGATTGGGGTAAAGTTACAGGGGTAACGTTAGTAGGCCGTCCGCCGTCGATTAACACAATGCTGAAACATATTTTAAAGTATGTCAGTGAGCCTCCGTCTTGCCTTTAATCGTCTTATTTTACGTTCAAATATATGCATTATGAACAAAGAACCGCCATTATTTCCAAGCAATAGGCGTTTTTTTTTTTGTTAATCCTGTCGACATTTAGTTGTGAATGGGTCTCCACACTGCTTGATCCACGCCCGGGATTTCTCCCCTTTGGCTTTTAGGTTTCGGGAAGAGAAAAAATGCCACCCCACCGTCCAAACTTTTAGAATACCGGGTATCAGATTTGCACAATCCATACGCACAACGCGTCGGCATGTTTGCCTCGCTCGAAAGCTTGATAGACCTCCCGCGCCTAGTTACGGTTGCTAAGCCACGATTGGCCAGTGGCGGTTTTCGGGCGTGGCTTAGCGAAGGGTCAATTACTTGTCTGGCATGCATATTATAGATTTTGAAAAACGTTTGTTGTGAAAAAACAACTTTATGTCGATGGATTGAATTCACTAAGCAGTTTTACCAATGTAGTGTGTGGAAAATTCATTGCAAAAATCATCTTATTCAATAACCATCCAGTTTCCAGGCCCTGAATGTGCTGAATAAGGCTGTGCGCAGTAAATATTGCTATTAAGTCATCGTCATTCTTCTCAGAGCAAAAAGGCCTCCAGCTCGTCAAGCAGGCTCAATGTCTTTTCATGAATCATTGTCCACTAATTTGATCTTGATGTGAATGCCGTTGAGTGATCTGAGCACTACTTGAGGGATCATCTTCGGGGTGTGTTTGGGGTCTTTAATGAGGCGATATTTCTTCAGGGTCAGCGCCACTGCTACTTTCATCTCATTCATGGCAAAGTTCTGTCCAATGCAGTTTCTGTAATCAGATATACATCAGAAGCTTTACTAGCTGCTTATTTATTAACAGTCTTTTAATAAACGCCATATCTTTTTCTATCTGAAGCAATTGCATTAGTACTGAAATGTATAAATTCACTATTACAACACTATTGTGGATATAGTAGCACAATCTACTGGGCGGTTTTACAGTAGTTTTTTCAAACACAGTCATAGTTTAGAAATCATTGTTATTCACATAATATGAAACAGCAGGAACAGTCATCACAGAGAAACCTGAGATTAGTTATCTAAAAATTAGGTACTTACTGGAGAAATAATATTCCACCATTGATTTTGAACAAACATTTTGTGTCAGTGCCAAGAATGCCAGTGTAAGCATATCATTGTAAAAAAAAAAAAAAGTATACACTTTAGCATACTTTTAAAATTAGAACTTATTAGGGTAATAACAAATATTTTAAAGAATATTTAAAAAAATATTTTCAGACACGTTGGGCCAGATTTACTAACGGCTTGTGGCAGCGCAAACCCTCTATTGTGGTTAAAGGGTAACTAAACCCCTGGTCAGAGCCTGACTCCACCCACTGGCAATATTTGAAAAATGCAGGAAAAGTGGGCGGAGCCCAGTGGAGATAGAGGGGATGAACCACACATGCCAACCCTCCCGATTTTTCCGGGAAACTCCCGAATTTCAAAGCCCCTCCCGAAAATCTCCCGGACCGACCTTTCTCCCGAATTTCTCCCGATTTCCACCCGGACAACAATATTGCTAACGTAAACTCACTGTATTCCGGACACTTTGCACAGTAAAACGTCCCGTAAGATATCAATCCGCGGAAAGATAAACCTGATTGGCTCGTCTGTCTCTGGGGACAAGCCTTCCACACGTTCCAAAGGTTGATTGACACATTTTGGACAAATCATTTTGGAGAAATCTTGAAAAAACTGCCGGGAGAGTGTCCGAATTACCGTGAGGACTCACAGTGTTCCGGACACTGAAAATTTCTACTCACTGTGTTTCGGACAGTTAAGGAGGAGTCATTTCTAATATAAAACGCATACATTTTAACAACTATAAGTTGGTAAAATAATCATATTAATCTTCATAACTTTGTTGTATAAGCGTCTATACACTATTTTAATCGACGATTGCTCATGCGAGCATTATATTCTAACGTTAACGTTATATTTAAGAATTTTAAATATTTAAAAAAAAATTTAATCCCTTAAAAAAGTAAAATTATTTGCAAATTGTAACTCATAATTATTTTATAAGACCATAATACAATACATGTATATATAAACAAAAAATATTGTTGAAAAAAAAGGGTCTAACCTCCTGAGGAGAGGCCTTAAGGAATTGAATTTGTAAAATAAATGAATTACATATTTACACATTAATTAAAAAAAGTTGGTTTAGTGTTTAGTTACCCGTTAACAACACAATAAAGACAAGCAGTGAAGAGTTGGCGATGAAAAGACGTGGACACAGTTATTTTTGTGGCTGACTTTACCAGTAACGCATTATAAGCAATGTGAGTTATGTAATCAGATTACTTTTTTCAAGTAACTAGTAAAGTAACGCATTAATTTTAAATTTAGATTATTATTTTTCAATAAGTAACGCAGGTTGCTTTGTTTTCCCATTCATTGACTGACAGCTCATGCTGAGAGGAATGGTGAGTAAGTGCAGAGGAGTCATGTGACCTGTGTGAACATGATGCTTCTTGTAGTTCTAGACTGAGCATTTACAAAACCAGATTCAGTATTCCTCAATGTGAATAAAAACAGAGAAATGCAAACTCTGAATATTATGCAAACCTATGATAATTTAACATGTTAATATAAATATACTTTATGTATTTAATATCACTTTATTAATCAATGTATTTGATGTTGACCTTTGATGATACAATTCAAGCATAATAATAAGCAAACATAACATTATTTTTTTTTTTATGTTAATGCACTGTTTATACTATTTTAAAATAATTGACATCCTGTACACAATGTTTTGAATGAATAAAAAAAAAGGATATCAGTCTGTGTTGTGGTGTGAGGTCAATCAGGTTGTGTCCTTTAGGAATCCCCAATGGAGTATGAATGTCACCTAGTGGCCTTTGTTGGTATAGCAACTCACAAAAAGCTCATTTTTTTTGTGATATCAGATTTAATTGTTAGGGTGAACCAATTTTTAAAAAATATATTATTTTAATAAAAAATTTTTTTTTAATTGCAGCACTTTTTATTACAATATACTTAAACAGCTATAACATTTTTTGCAGACAACTGTGAAATAAACTTCAAAGTGTCTTCTTTAAAACAAGACCAGAATGAGGTTTATATTCCAAAGCGTTCAATTTTTTTTTTTGCATGTCCTTCAGCCTGAGGCTTTATTAATTTCGAATTTGGTGTGAAAGGGCCTTTATATTTGCCAGAAATAGAACTTTAGTTTTTTTGTGTGTGTTATTAAAAAACAAACAATCAAGCCCAGCCCAGGTAAGAAAAAGTAACGCAAAAGTAGCATAACGCATTACTTTCCATAACAACAAAAGCAATTAGTTACTTTTTAAGGGAGTAACCTGGCATGCATTTTTAGGAGTTTCCCTTTCAAACGCAAAATTAATGGGTGGAGAGTATTCAATTAATCCTACAACGTGATTTACTAAGGTTCGCAGTAATTTACTGGCATTTGTGCCATTAAACACAGAGTAAAAGCATGTCTTAACCCATTTTTGCGCTTGACATGCTGTGATAGTTGCTGCTAGGAGGAGAAACTAGAGAATTTTCAATACATTTAAATGAATCACGCAACGTGATTTACTGAGGTTTGAGGAAGTCAATTTACAGGTATTTGCTCCATTATTTATTGCAGATTACCCACACCTGATTATCATCGGCTCTGCTAGTGTGCAACCCTGCGCTCGTGTGCTTCTCTGGCTAGATTGTGTTGGTCATAATGGAAATGAGCGGCTGCGTCTGTGTTCATTTGTGCGCTGTCAGTAGATCCTCTCCCATCTGCACTTTTATGGGATTGCGGTCTCTGTTTAGTAAATCTGGCCCTTAATTGCATGTTACTTGCAATTAAATGGAAATATATTATAACTCAGCTGAACCGTATAGTGCTTTTTGACCCACTCTACTACTAAAGGTCCTATATGTAATTTCATAATTACTACTTTTGTATTTGAAATCAATGTACTGAAAAGAATTGATTGTAAACTAAAAATATACTTAATTTCTTAATGACATACTGCATGTCATTTGTGAAAACTTGTAACTTATGTCATGTATTTAGTCATGAAAGTTTACTCTCTTTGAAGGGATACTCCACTTTTTTTTGGAAATAGGCTCATTTTACAACTCCCCCAGAGTTAAACTGCTGAGTTTTACCGTTTTTGAATCCATTCAGCCGATCTCCGGTTCTGGCGGTACCACTTTTAGCACTGAGTGCAGCAGGCGTAATGATATGACGACGCAGCGCCTGAAAATAGGCTACCTTCCATCAACACAACGGAACTATTTTCAGGCGCTGCATCATATCATTACGCCTGCTGGACTCATGGTACGGCAGTAAAGTTTCTTGATTATTACGCAGGAATGAGAGTATAGTTCCTAGCCATATCAGCCTAGAAAATCGCAACTTTACATTTTCCGTCGGTCTTAGTGCACGATGTAACTACAGAAGAGTCAAGTTTTAAATAGGAAAAATATCAAAACTCTTGGTCATTTTTTTTTTAGAAAGGCTAATGGTCTTGTCCACTTCAATGATGTATGCTAAGCTATGCTAAAAGTGGTACCGCCAGAACCGGAGATCGGCTGAATGGATTCAAAAACGGTAAAACTCAACAGTTTAACTCTGGGGGAGTTGTAAAATGAGCCTATTTCCAAAAAAAGTGCATTATCCCTTTAAGTACACTTTTTTTTTTTTTAAATGTATAGGCTACTTTAGAGATTTGAAGTACAAGTGCACATTCAGTAGGCCTACAATTTGACCCACATTATCAGATGCCTTGTTGTTTGCTCTCTGCTCTCATCGGGGTTGAACTGAGGTCAGTTGAAGGAAAGTTCAATTCTTTATGTAAATCTTTTCCAAACAACAGCGGTTTATAGTGATGTGTGTCAAGTGTCAAGCTGTTAGTACACAAACTCACACATGTAGTCCACATGAGCTGTGCGCTATCCCATTCCCATATGATAAGTTTTCATTTGGGAACATAGCAAACACTTTTATTCACTGATAATCTTGCCAACTTCCAACTGCATCTGCGCTCAGAATCTGAAACTGCGTGCTAAGACAGGTTGCTTTTTCACAGGACAACACTGATTGTAAAACACTATTGCTTTTTGCAAGTGTTTAAATATGCAGAATGGAGAATGACATTTAAAGGCTGCAGCAGAGGGATGTTTTTTTTAGTGAATAATGACTTACATTTCAGTTTGTTCGTATATGATAGAGCTGCACGATTACTTGTTAAAAGATTGTAATCTCGATTCAAACACCCACGTGATCTTATTTCTAAATGTCTGAATCTGAATCTTGATCTCTATTTTAAACAAATAAATCAATTTATCCAGAATGAGTTCAGAAATCTTGAAATATAGTATTGTGACATAGCAAATTTAGGCTACTTGTATGGTAATTTTATGTTTTTGTTTGTTACTATGAACGGTCATTGAACAGAATCTCATTGCTATTTGTTCTCACGCGGGTTGAAATGAGGTCAGAGAACCAAACTCCAGCTCTATTCTGTGCGAGTGAAATGTGAGTGAATGACCCACTTGCTAAACCGCTCATGTCTCTTCAACACTCGCAGTCTTACAAACCTGGGTCCAGCAGAGAAGGGCACAAAAGCATGAGGTGACCGCTTAGCAGTGTTCTCCGGCAGAAATCTCAATGGATCAAATACCTGTGGACAACATAACATTTCAAATACATGTACAGAATTCAGAACTCTGTTATATATACAGACTTTAAAAACACATGAAATGTACTTGTTCTGTTCTCTTATTTTTATATTTTCTTATGATGAAGTAAATATTACAAACATAAAATGATTAAGGTTAAAATGTGGTTGTGTTCTGATTGTGGGTATTTTGATTATATTAAAGCGGGGTCCGATAGTATGAGACCAAAATCTGCGATGTAAATCTAAAAAGCCTGTCATTGACCATGTGACTCTTTGTACACAAGATGCATCTTAAATCATGCTGGAGAACATGATCTTCAGGTTTTGTTCATGTAGCTCCAGTGCTGCTTTCATTAAAGTCCCCATGCCTGTAGTCAATAATTGTATCCCTTAAAACTCATCTTTGATCACCAAAATGACATATTTAAACGTTTTATCCTTGAAAAATGTCTTCATGCCTTCGAGGATGTTTACATGACACTGTTTACGCGTAAACGTTTTCATGCGTTCTGACCGTTCGTTTACACGTGCAAGTTTCAAAGTGCAAGTTTTTGAAAACGGTATCCGTGTAAGCAACAAAAACGCAAATCTCTGAAGATGATGAGGTCATGCACATGAGTATTACGTGTTCAGTCTATAGTGTTTCATAGCCATCTAATGGCCTGGCAGCAGAATACACGGTTTTATGCGTTTCCGCGGATCCGTGTGAATGAGGATCGTTTTGACAACGGTATCGTCTGTACGTTGAAAACTCAAAGGAAAAACTTTTCAGTTTTAAGCATATCGTTGTCGTGTAAAGTAGCTTGAATGTAACTCTACACCCTTGCCTCATTTAGTATACGCGGTTCTATCAATATGCAAATGATCCCCGCCTCCACTCACTCACAGCAGCTCAGAGATCCACTCGTTGATGATCACACGTTGATCTGGGGTGTGTTTCCCGAAAGCATCGTTAGCCAACTATGGTCGCAAGTTCTGTCGTTATCAGCAGTTCAACGAGTCGGTGTTTCCCGAAACCATCGTTCCAACGAACATTCGCAAACAGCATCGCAGAGGTGTGTGTGTGAGCGACAGATCTCGACCTGTGGTTAGAAGCTGAGTTTCTAGATTGCATGACATGTGGACTTAATAAATCCTTATCTTGAGCAAAATAAGCAAGTTGACATTCAGTACAGCCTGTGTCTTTATTTAGAATACATACAGATGTCATTTACGTCTTTGAGTTTGTCAAGAGATTTAAAGCACCGTTTTTGAAGACTGCGCATGTGTGAACGTGCTCTACTATGTAAGAAGGAGCCTATGATCGAATCTGGAAATAAAGCGAAATGAGAAATATTCCTCAGATGCCATGTCTGTAATTTATATAAAAACATCTAGCATTAATTCGATCTCAAACAGTTTAATTAAAATAAGTTATAACTCCACACGTGCGTGACGTCATAAACCAACGTGGTTGAACGACCACTTTGCAACAATATGGTTTCGGGAAACAGTCGTGACTAGCTAGTTGATTTCTTCAACGATGCATCGAAATAGTAGAAGCATCGAGTTACGTCGTTGTACGGGAAACACACCCCTGATTGGTTACAAGGTAGTTTGTGACGTCAGAAACACCAGCGATTTCAAACTGTGTTTTTGAGACTGTCTTTGGTTCACTGCAGTTTTAAAGCAGCACTAAGTAGGAATTCCGTTTTTGTCAAACAGCGACCCCTAGAGTCGCTGTGGAGTACTTGTACTGTCGTGAATAGCACTCACGCAGAGATGGCTCTGCACTCACGGCCGGATCCCCTCCCCCTGTACACCGGTACCTGTTCAGTAGGATGGAAGCTGTAACGAGTGGAAATAAGGTATGGCCCCTTTAAGAGCTGCGCGCGCCCTGTTTAACTGTCGGCAGTCTGTATTGTATGTGCGCCTTGAACACCACAAGTATACCGCGCCGGGTTATTTCTGTTTGATGCTCATTTTATCAGAATTTTATCAGATCTGTTTTTTGCCGTAAAGCAATTCGTTACCTCGCGAGAACTATCACACGATACTTCCTAACACTGAGGCCCGCCGGCCCAAAGTTGCAAGGGTGGTTTTGCGGCTCACAGGCACCAGGGGGGTGCGAGACGACCACCATTCAACACGAAATCAGTAATATAAACATTACAATGACTCTGAAATTGTTCGGTTAAGGTAAAAAAGTTACTTAGTTCACCTTTAAGGAGAAAATACTCAGCAATGCTGTTGACTTTTTGAATTTGCATATGGTTTGTCTTAAAGCATATTAAAAACATGACATATGTTTAAACAACATTAAAAACTTGATTTTCACCACAGGGGGACTTTAAAGCAAAAGACAGGCATACTCAACAAATCAGATTGTGCTGGTAAAATCATTGAAAAATGTATTTAAAAGTAAAAATGCAAATAGAGCACTTCACAATTCGTCTCAAGCATTTGGACCCCATTTAATTTTTCACTCAATCTGCAATATGTTATGTTTTGTAGTGAGCGATGCATTGCATATTTCAGATGTAAAGAAAGCACTCATACATATGGATTCTCCCACACTGTGGCATTCAAGTGGATCCCATAAATGCTAACTCCAATGGTACAACCTATGGAAGAGTAAAACAGTGTTTTAAGGCATGCAGTTATGTATTTAGCCAGTTTTGTGATGAGCTGATAACGTTCAGTGTCATGCTGCATATACCAAGTAACTGAACTAAACAACAAGCAGCTAGATTAATGTTTGAACAGATGTTATCTGAGTTAGAGGTCATTGTGTCTGTGTACAAGTGAACTAGGTTTAAAGCAGTTGGCAATTTTTCAAACTTCATTCCTACTGGTGGCCAAAACAGGCCAAGTCGGTTACACTTTATTTTACAGTGTCCTTGTCACATATGTTACATGTACTTACCATAGTAATGAATGTAAATTATGCATAATTACATGCAACTAACCCTCAACCAAATCCTAATCCTAACCCTAGAGTAAGTACATGTGGTTGCTTAATATTACTCAGTACTTAAATATATCATTACACTGTAACAATGACACCTTAAAATAAAGTGTAACCTTTTAAAAATACCTGCATGTAATAACATCACTACATCTGTAATTAACTTCTGTAATTTCATCTATAATTATACATTTGACCCTTCCCTGACACCTTATCTCACCCTTAAATATACCTATACCACCTCAATTGCAGCAAAAGTATTTTGCAATACAAGAAGTAATGTACCAAACTCTTTTTATGGACACAAGTACATAGTTAAAGTAAAACCAAATATCTTCTTGCAATAAAACTGGGTGGTGACCAAGTGACTGGCAAGCTTTAAAAGGACAAAAAAGTACCATAAAATGCCTTAAAAGCTCTATAAAAGTAGTATATGACTTGTGCACTTGCCTTCTTTAGTCTTCTGATAGCCATTGTGTGAGGAATAGACTGAAACATTGGCCATTATTCATTAAAAATCACAGTACTTGCATACTGCCAGAAAGAAAGAGAGGCGCTAAAGACATTGTCTTTCGTGTGCATTGTGAACGCACCAGGTTTAGATCTGTGGAGGTGAATGACATTTGTATTATGAACACACTAGGAGAGCTGTTATGGCTTTAAAAAACTTGGAATCTGGCACACAAGTCATATGGACTACTATGAAGATACTTTTATGGTATTTATGGAGTTTGACAGTCACTGGGTGATCACAGGATTACCTTCAGGTACAGTCCGTCCATCAAAGAAAGTCATGGGTTTAGTTAACTTTCGTGATATCCCCGGCACAGGAGGGCAAAGCCGCAGAGATTCTTTAATACACATTGTGGTATAAGGAATTTTATTGAGGTCTTCCCTGAAACAGAAGGAGAGAGAGGCAGTCTCAGAGAATCAGATGGTGTATAAGGCATTTCCAATGAAAGTAAGTCGTAATGAGGAAATGCATTGAGTTGATTTGCTATGAAAATAGCATAGCTGAGCCAAAGCTGCTAATATCGTATTTGAACTGTCATTTTTTTTTTTAGATTAAAAGGACAAAAATACCAGCAAAATTCCCCAGACAGCAACATAGTGTCGGCCCAGATCCGGCCCACATCTGGGACACTATGTTGCTGTCTGGGTCCTTGACATATTTGTTACTAGGGGCCCTATCATACACCCGGCGCAATGCAGCGCCAAACACGACACAAGTGTGTTTTGCTAGTTTCAGCCCGACGCATATATCATTTTCACGTCCTGCACCACATTGTTTACATAGCAATTGCATTTGTGCCCATCTGTTCCCCTATGGGCTGCTGGTCTGAAAACAAGGTGTGTTCAGGCGCATTGTTGGCGAGTTGCTATTTTGAGGAACTGAAAAAGACTAAGCCATTGACCAACTGAAACCTGGTCTAAAGTCAATGGCGCATTTTTGGGGGGGTTATTTAAAGAGCGCGTTAGTGTTGCGCGCGTACACTTTGCTTATTACACACACAGGGATGAGCAGCAGCACACAAACATTTTTAAAAATGAAAAATAAAAGGATTACAATGTAAAAGATTAATATTGTGTACATAAAGATATGTTGGGATCTGGCTTGTCCCGTAAATAGTGAATCCGCCATGGCGCGAGCACGACTGGCTTTTAAAGGGAATAGGAGATGAGACTCTGATTGGTTTATTTCACGTTACGCCCAAAACACACCCATTACTCATTAAGAGAATAGGGACAACCTTTTTAGACCATGCGCCGGGAGCACCGACCGCTTTTCCCATCGTTAAACTAGCAAAAGTGGATTCGGACACTCTCTCAGTGCACTTGCGCTGTGCGCTTCAAACCATGCGCTTAGATCATTAAAATAGGGCCCCATGACTGTTTAATTGAGTGAAGTTTTTATTTTAACTTCCAATAATTATGAAAACATAATAATCGAGATAAAACGGCCATTCAGTGAAGACTTTGCAGTGTTTTATTTTTACATTACATCTTTATGTAATTTTGTTGCAGGCTAGCTGAACACTATACCATTAGATAGACTTAAAGCATTGTTTATTTCATTTGTATCTTTTTTTCTATTGTGTTTGTCATATTGCGTGTAATTTTCTTCTTTGTTTTTTATTTTTATGACTGACTTTTCATTTGTCTTCAATAACGGAGGACTTTTTTACCTACATTAGTTGGCCTACTATTAGTTTCTGCTGTGATATAGAAACTACTGGTTGCCTATTAACTAACGTTTATGAGATAGCATTCACAGATGTTACTCGATGTTGTAGACAACAAATCAGTTTTCTTGCAAAAGTCCAGATTTTGCCAAAATTGAGCAGCCCTTTTTGTTACTACTGTGACAGACCTACATTTCCAATCATACCACTATTAACAAACCAGGGGTGCGTTTCCCGAAAGCATCGCAAGTTCTGTCGTTATCAACAGTTCAACGAGTCGGTGTTTCCCGAAACCATCGTTCCAACGAACATTCGCAAACAGCATCGCAGAGGTGTGTGTGTGAGCGACAGATCTCGACCTGTGGTTAGAAGCTGAGTTTCTAGATTACATGACATGTGGATTTAATAAATCCTTATCTTGAGCAAAATAGCAAGTTGACATTCAGTACAACCTGTGTCTTTTATTTAGAATACAGATGTCATTTACGTCTTTGAGTTTGTCAAGAGATTTAAAGCACCGTTTTTGAAGACTGCGCATGTGTGAACGTGCTCTACTATGTAAGAACGAGCCTATTATTGAATCTGGAAATAAAGCGAAATAACAGAGAAATATTCCACAGATGCCATGCCTGTAATTTATATCAAAACATCTAGCATCAATTCGATCTCAAACAGTTTCTCCACCACATGCGCGATGTCTGAAACCAACGTGGTTGAACAACCACTTTGCGACAATATGGTTTCGGGAAACAGTCGTGACTAGCTAGTTGATTCCTTCAACGATGCATCGTACTGCGGTAGTGAAGCATCAAATTACGTCGTTGTACGGGAAACGCACCCCAGGATCCTACTCTACCTACACTTGACTCAACTGTCCAACACATCGTGACATGAGTCGAGTGATGACAGTATGACAGTACCACTCCAGCGTGTCTTTTCCATCCAGAGCTTGTAAGATCTCCTCCCTGCATTTCTCCTGGTGCTCAGGGTTACATGCCAGATTGTAGAAGATCCAAGATATTCCACTGGCTGTAGTGTCATGGCCTTCAAACATGAACGTGTCCACTTCAGCCCTGATATCCTCATCTGACAAACCCTGCTGATACTCGTCCTGAGACCGATACACAAAATCACAATCTGTGACATTAATAATATAGTACAACGGTAGTATGCAATAGGTAACAACATATCAGCTATGAAGGATTTTCATTAAGTCAGAATATAAGAGTTGTGTAAGTGTTTGGGAATATCATACTCGGGCAGACAGAAGAATATCCAAAAAGTCCAAATATCGTCTGTTTTTAACAATGCCCTGTTCCTTCTCAATCTTCAAGACTTCCTTCCTCTTTCTGATAACATCCGCTAAAAAAAATATTAATAAATTGAAAAGACATTAGAGATTTGCTAGTTAAAGTCCTCCACTTCCTTTCAAAAGTTTAAGGCTGCATTTATTTGATCAAAAATACAGTAATATTGTGAAATATTTTTACAATTTAAAATAACTGTTTTTAATTTGAATATATTTGCATTTTCAGCATCATTACTCCAGCTTTTAGTGTAACATAATCCTTCAGAAATCATTTTAATATGAGGATTTGCTGCTTAAGAAACATTTCTGATTATTTAAAAACAAAATGTTAAAAACAGTTGCGCTGCTTCATATAAATGTGGAAACTGTGGTACTTTTTTCAGAATTCTTTGACAACAGAAAGAACAGCATTTTTTTTAAATATAATCTTTTATAACATTATAAATGTCTTTTCTGTCACTTTTGATCAATGTAATGCATCCTTGCAGCTTAAAAGTATTAATTTCTTTAAAAAAACACACAAAAAAACAGCATTTGTTTGAACGGTAAGGCCCCAATATACTTAGTATACGAAATCACAGGTGAAGTTCGAACTACTTTTTACCACAAAGCGAAGAACGAAAAAGAACTTCGCTGTGAGTATATCGGGGCCTGTAGTGTATATTTTGGTTTTACTAATATATATATAGCTATATATATTTAGCCCATGAGCAGGCCCAGATATAATCTTTCACAAACTCTGCACAATTCTGAGAAATGGATTTGTTTCAATTTCAAACAGGTTTCCTGAACTGGTTTCCCAGTCTTTCATTAGTCAGCCAAACAGATGGACTGGCAAGACTGCTCAAATCCACAAGCAAGAGTCTTGAAGGAAGGGTCAAGGGTGTAGCACTAAATGTTGAGCCCCCTATGGTCCATTTGGGTCAGTGAGAAAATGCATAATGTTTTTTCTTTTCTTTCTTTTTTTTAGACAGTAATACAATGCCATATTATAACATTTCCAGAGCCTCTTAAAATTCAGAGGAACACAGTTAATCGAATTGTTTTCAGATTAAAATGTAAATATATTACATTACATCTGCTGTGGGGTTCCTGTGGGCCTGCTCATGATGGACACGACTGTGGCTTGTCAAAGAAACAACACCTGTATGATTGTGTGCTATGCCAGCTGCCTTCCTGAATTTGTATCCATGTGGACTGAGATGAAATATGGCCTTGTTGTGGTACGGAAAAACTCTGAACCTGAGGTTCACCAGGTTGCAGAGGTCAAACACTGCCTGGGTGTACGGGTTGGTTCCACTGCAATGAGATCAGGGAGATTTTAGGATACGTAATGGATATGGATACGTAAACACGGACGAGGTAAGAGCATTTACTCACCTGTCTGTCTGACAGTTGCTGTTACAGCTGAACGCACATTTCATAATGCTGTCCAGGGTCATGAGACTTACATGCTTAAACAGTTCAAATGACTCTTCTGATTTGGCATAACCTTCCCACTTATCCTAAAAAACAGAAAAATTCATTTAAAGTGTATCATATTGTCACTAGTATCAATAAGGAATTACAAAACTAATGACTGTTTTCAAACAGGTTTCTCAACCTAGCTAACAAAAATATGTTCCAAGAACCATCAAGTTATGAAAATGTTATTTCTGAATGTTTAAAATGTCCAACATTATGGCAATGCTACTTTTGAATGTTTTCTGAACAAGTAGTAACATTTACAAATACGTTAGATGAACATCCAACTAAAACATTGAAGGACATGTTCCATGAACAATGTATTAATGTTTTTGTACTAATGTTGTGAGAACATTATTAATTCAATTCACTTTTTTTACGTGCTTTTCACAATACGTATCGTTTCAAAGCAGCTTTACAGAAAATGCATGTGTCCACATTACAATTTAGAGTGATCTGTTATCAGAGGTGACTGTCCAAGTTATGTATTTCAGAAATGTACATATACAAATCACGCAATTATCCAACAATGTATTAATTTAAGGCAGAACCCATGAGCTCATGAAGTAAAAAGATCAACTAGTGAAGTTTAAACACACATTCAAGTAACATTACTCAAAGAACGTTTATTCTTAAGTTTAAGAGAACCTTGCCAGAACGTTAGCCAAAGTTTTGAGAACATTCCCTGTTAGCTGGGAAAAACCTTAGTAAATCACGTTGTGCGATTCATTTAAATACACTCAATTAAAGGATTATTAGGAACACCATACTAATACTGTGTTTGACCCCCTTTCGCCTTCAGAACTGCCTTAATTCTACGTGGCATTGATTCAACAAGGTGCTGAAAGTATTCTTTAGAAATGTTGGCCCATATTGATAGGATGGCATCTTGCAGTTGATGGAGATTTGTGGGATGCACATCCAGGGCACGAAGCTCCCGTTCCACCACATCCCAAAGATGCTCTATTGGGTTGAGATCTGGTGACTGTGGGGGCCATTAGTACAGTGAACTCATTGTCATGTTCAAGAAACCAATTTGAAATGATTCGAGCTTTGTGACATGGTGCATTATCCTGCTGGAAGTAGCCATCAGAGGATGGGTACATGGTGACCATAAAGGGATGGACATGGTCAGAAACAATGCTCAGGTAGGCCGTGGCATTTAAACGATGCCCAATTGGCACTAAGGGGCCTAAAGTGTGCCAAGAAAACATCCCCCACACCATTACACCACCACCACCAGCCTGCACAGTGGTAACAAGGCATGATGGATCCATGTTCTCATTCTGTTAACGCCAAATTCTGACTCTACCATCTGAATGTCTCAACAGAAATCGAGACTCATCAGACCAGGCAACATTTTTCCAGTCTTCAACTGTCCAATTTTGGTGAGCTCTTGAATTGTAGCCTTTTTTCCTATTTGTAGTGGAGATGAGTGGTACCCGGTGGGGTCTTCTGCTGTTGTAGCCCATCCGCCTCAAGGTTGTGCGTGTTGTGGCTTCACAAATGCTTTGCTGCATACCTCGGTTGTAACGAGTGGTTATTTCAGTCAAAGTTGCTCTTCTATCAGCTTGAATCAGTCGGCCCATTCTCCTCTGACCTCTAGCATCAACAAGACATTTTCGCCCACAGGACTGCCGCATACTGGATGTTTTTCCCTTTTCACACCATTCTTTGTAAACCCTAGAAATGGTTGTGCGTGAAAATCCCAGTAACTGAGCAGATTGTGAAATACTCAGACCGGCCCGTCTGGCACCAACAACCATGCCACGCTCAAAATGGCTTAAATCACCTTTCTTTCCCATTCTGACATTCAGTTTGGAGTTCAGGAGATTGTCTTGACCAGGACCACACCCCTAAATGCATTGAAGCAACTGCCATGTGATTGGTTGATTAGATAATTGCATTAATGAGAAATTGAACAGGTGTTCCTAAAAATCCTTTAGGTGAGTGTATATCTCCTATAAATCTTGAGTCTGAAAAGGAAACTCCTACAAATGCATATGCAATAATATCAGCAGCAAAAATAACCTTTTCAGCGCTCATTTTTCACTGCGTGTCTTTAGTAAATCCTAAAAGTAGTTTTTTAACAGCAAAAGAGGGTTTGTGCTGGAGCTGTTAGTAAATCTGGCCCAAAGTGTTTTAACATGGAAAAATACACACTCAACAAGTGCCTTAAACGTACAAGCATGACTTCAGTTGAATCAGAAATAAGTTTCACATAAGGCTTCAAAACATCATAATGGAAACCAGGAGTGAGGAGTCGTCTGTGCCGAAACCATTTCTGTCCAGCAGACACAAGCAAGCCATCGCCTGAGGAGACAGTGAAGAGTTACGTGATAACAGGGTGTTTCTTTAACTACAGACACTTTTACGTCCCATGGGTAGACTCTTATTAAAACTGTTTTTACACTACTTTTCAAATGCTGTTTATGTATAGATTTCGTTGTTTTGTTCCAAACCCAGAGACAAAATGCGAAAAATAATCAGTTTTTTAGTTGAATTACAACTGTCCTACAGATGTCGCAGAATGTTTGCCACAAGTAGCATTTTTTCCTAATAAAGTATATTTATTTGTTTGCCAAGGGGACAACATTGTCAGTCAAGTGCTTGATATGAAAAATGTAGTTTTTTAAATTTAATTTAGTCACATTTGACAATAAGCACGAACATATTATTTGTGTAAACTTAAGATACATAAAATGGTTAAAATACAAAAATAAATTTTTAAAGAGACTGCAATTTTGTTCTAAATCTAAAACAGTGTCTATTTACATCAAATGCAAATAGTCAGCCTTGTTGGCAGAGGCTATTAACACTACTGTAACTCCATCCACCATCGTCTGATTAAGCCAGACAAAATTACAAAAGACATCCCGTTGATAGCAGGATTGGGTGGTGTGACGGGTCTCCGGTTGTTCCCGCTGTGTCGACCGGTGGGTGTGACTGGGAGACTCATCAAGAGAATGATGTACACCTGTGTAGGATCATCAAGTGATATACACCTGTATATAAGCTTAGGCTTTGAGAATGTGGAGTGAGCTTCGAGATCTTCAGAGCTGCAAGACTCTTGTGAGAGCTTTTGCTTCCGTACCTTCTTGTGTTGGGTTTGTTTTGTTTTCCTTTGCTATGATTTGATCTTAGTTCTGTCTGACATCTTAACACCGCTTGTCAGACAGAAATGGCAGTTGTGTTGTAATTTATTTCCTGTTATATATATTTTTCTATTTATGTTAATAAATACACGTACAACCTGACCAACTTCACTATGTCCTCCACTCATTTGTCACGGCTTTGAGCCGGTCGTGACAAATATGGGGGCTCGTCCAGCCGATTGTTTTTGATAAAGTTTCGTTAGTAGTTTTTGTCGTCCGCCAATTGTTAATTGAAGATTCGTTCGTAGTTTGTTAGTGTGACAAATATGGAGGCTTATCCGTTGTTTAAGGTGATAAATATTTTCCGGTTTGGACAAATGTGGATAAGTCCGTTCGCTTTGGTAAGAGAAACTCATTCGTTCATTTGGTTCTGGTAAATGTGATACATTTGGATGATTATTATTTGTTTAAATTAATTTTGTTAAGTTGGTTAATTCGTTAGAAACGATTTTTTTTCTTGACAATTTTTGTTAAGTAAAACTTGTGGAGGGTTTTAGTGGTTGGTTTGGTTGTTCTGGTTGGTTACGGGAGTTTAATTTGGTGTATTGGCTACTAAATTTGAGAAAAGAGGTGTCTTGGCTTAGGCTTTTCCCTGCGTAGGTTTAGCGGGATTTCCTTAACAGGATTTTCCGATCTTTTTTATTTTAGTTTTTTTTTGTACGGTGAAAGCAGTTAGAGCATTTGTCTCGGGAACACGTCCGTGTTTGTAGTAGTGACTCGTTAATCGGTTGCTATTGCAAACACTGGTTTATAGTGTATAAAAACCCGCTGCAAGTAACTGTATGAAGATTAGGGATGAGTTTAGGTAGGTTTAAATCTTAGTTAGAGGGAATTGCTTATTCCAACTTCTGTCTTTAAGCTTGTTTTGTTTTTCTGGAATTTGGTAGCCATACATTTTTCATAATGTCCTCAAACGTTGAGGAATTTGTTAGCGCACCGTCTGAGAGCTTGTTAAATGACTTAACCGAGGATCAATTATTAGAACTTGCAGAATACTACAAAATTAATCTGATGAGTCAAGATAAACGTCTAAAAGATCAGATTAAAACCTTGGTAAAGACAGAGTTAGTTGAACTTGGCATTTTAGAGACTCAATCTTCAGAAGATACGTTAACTTTTGTCGATGCGACATCAACACAGTCTCATTTAACATTTGAACAACAAAGGCAATTATTGATAATTCAAGTAGAGATGAAAGAAAAGCAGTTAGAAGCGCAAAATCACATTGAAATCTCTAAAGTCCAATTGCAGCAACAACAACTTGAACTTGAACGTTATCGTTTGGATTTAATAAGAGAAGGTAAACTTTCTGTTACTGGAGAATCAGTACGTGATTCAAGTTCGTACAAGTTTGATACGGTAAGAAATATGAGATTGATTCCTAAATTTGATGAGAGAGAGGTTGAGCGTTTCTTTTTATTGTTTGAACGTGTTGCGGACGCACAACGTTGGCCAGATGAAGAGCGAACGCTTATGTTACAGTCTGTATTTACAGGCAGAGCTCAAGAAGCGTATTCTTCCCTTAGTGTAGAGGATGCTTCTGATTATCAAGCTGTAAAATCAGCAGTGTTGAGGGCTTATGAACTAGTTCCAGAGGCCTATAGACAAAAGTTTAGGTCCTGGAAGAAGAGTGAAAAACAGACGTATATTGACTTTGTACACGATATTTCGGTCTATTTTAATCGTTGGTGTGTAGCTTCTGATGTAAAAACACTTGACGATTTAAAAGAATTAATGGTACTTGAACAATTCAAGAGTTCCATTTCAGATCGCATTGCAACTTACATTAGTGAGCATAAACCTGGCACTGCGTATGAGGCGGCCGTCATAGCTGATGAATTCTCGTTGTCTCATAAAACTGTTTTTGGTTACAGATCGGGTGGAGAAAATTTAAAAAAAGAGCCGTGGCGAAGTTCTAGCAAATTTACCAGATTTGTGCATGATTTACCCAGCAGACAGTTGCATAGCTCTGTTGAAGAGAAAGACCGAGCAAATATGTGTAATTATTGTCATGAGTTTGGTCACTGGAAGAATGAATGTCTCTTATTGAAAGCAAAAGCTGACAATTCTAAAGTGAAATCTAATTCTTGGTCTCCTGTAAAGTCTGTGGCGTTGGCTGTGACTACTTCAACAGTGAATAATGTGCAGAAAATGTGCTCGCCATGTGGTTCAGCATTTACTCCTTTTGTTACAGAAGGTTCTGTTAGGTTGGTAGATTCCACAAAAGTCGTACCAGTAAAGGTTCTACGTGATACAGGATCATCAGAAACCTTTGTGTTAGAGTCTGCGCTGCCTTTTTCACCTGATTCTTACACTGGAAGTAATGTGCTGATTAAGGGCATTGGCTTGAATGTTATGTCTGTTCCACTGCATAAAGTTATTTTGCAATCTGTATTGGTCCAGGGAGAAGTGGAGGTGGCTGTTCGTTCCTGCTTGCCTGTGGAAGGAATACAGGTAATTCTGGGGAATGACTTGGCTGGTGATCGTGTCTGGCGGAATGATTCACCACATCTAGTGGTAACACCATGCCCGATGATCTTGAAACCAGATGGTGGTGAGAATTTGACCTGTTCAAGTGTGTTACCCACTTGTGTGATATCACGATCTATGAGTAAAACCCAAGCTGAGGTAAAATATGAATCTAAGAAGGTGGTGAAGGAAACTCTAGAAGTCCCTTCAATTTTATCAGTGTCACGTGATGAACTGGTTGAAAAACAAAAAACTGACTCAACTCTTGTTGAACTATTTGACCGGGTTGTATCATATGACTCAATTGAGAATCTTTCATCTGGGTATTACCTAGATGAAGGATTGCTAGTTCGAAAATGGACACAGGGAGAGTTTGCGTTGGGTGATCCCATGGTGCAAGTTGTAATTCCTCAGTCTCTTCGGCAGCTAGTGTTACAGACTGCTCATGATACGTCTGGGCATATGGGAGTGAAAAAGACGTACAAATTACTTTTGAGACGGTTCTTTTGGCCGAAATTGAAGCGTGATGTGTCTAAATATATTAAATCTTGTCACACATGTCAGCTTACTGGGAAGCCAAATCAATCTTTGAAACCTGCTCCTCTTTTTCCGATTCCAGCCATTAGTCAGCCGTTTGAACATCTCATTGTAGATTGTGTCGGGCCGTTGCCTAAATCAAAAGCAGGTAGTGAGTATTTGCTTACAATCATGTGCCAAGTAACTAGATATCCTGCTGCATATCCTTTACGCTCTGTGACGGCAAAACTAGTCATAAAGGCACTGACTCGGTTCATTTCAATATTTGGAATACCACGAATTATCCAATCTGATCAGGGAAGTAATTTCACTTCTAATTTGTTCGGTCAAGTGTTGAAACAACTTCATATTCAACATAACCTCTCCAGTGCTTATCATGCCCAAAGTCAGGGAGCACTGGAGAGATTTCATCAAACGTTAAAATCTCTTTTGAGGTCGTACTGTGTTCAAATGGGTAAGGACTGGGAGACTGGTCTGCCTTGGTTGATGATGGCGGCTCGGGAAGCTGCGCAAGAAAGTACTGGGTTCAGTCCGAACGACCTTGTTTTTGGACACGACGTGCGAAGTCCGTTGGCTGTTTTAGCTGCTGACTGGGAAAAGTCTTATCCACCGAAAAATGTTTTGTCATATGTTAGTGATTTTCGTAGACTAGTTTATGACGCGTGCCACTTGGCGAAGTCATCTCTGAGCAAATCACAAGATCGAATGAAACTACTTTTTGATCGTCGAACAGAGTTGCGTTCGTTTCAACCTGGTGACCAGGTACTGGCGTTGTTGCCTGTTGTTGGGTCACCGTTTCAGGCTAAGTTTGTCGGACCATATACTGTTGCACGTCAGATTTCTGATTTGAATTATTTGATTAATACGCCAAATCGAAGAAAAAAGACTAGAATGTGTCACATAAACTTGTTAAAGCCTTATTATGCTTGTAAAGATTTCGAAGACCTTATGACAAAAGACCAAGTTAGTCTGCCTGATTCGCGTGTTAAACCTGTTATGTTTGCAGATGTTTCTGTTAATAATGACAGTGTTGAATTGGTTCCAACTCCAGTAGCTGGGGAGGAAGGTGAAATCTATCCGGGAGATTGTGTTCTTCAAGGTCGTCTTAGAAACTCAGAAGCACTGAGTTCTTTGAGCGTTCGGCTTGGTCATCTGTCGAATGTACAGCGGACTGATTTGATGAATTTGACTAAGGAATATGTTACATTGTTTTCTGATACTCCTTCTTGCACAGATCTAATACATTTACATTTTTACATTTATTCATTTAGCTGACGCTTTTATCCAAAGCGACTTACAATTGCTATATATGTCAGAGGTCGCATGCCTCTGGAGCAACTAGGGGTTAAGTGTCTTGCTCAGGGACACATTGGTGTCTCACAGTGGATTCGAACCTGGGTCTCTCACACCAAAGGCATGTGTCTTATCCACTGCGCCATCACCACCCCCCTAATAGAGCACGACATTGATGTGAGAGGTGCAAGTCCAATTCGTCAACGTTATTATCGAGTGTTTGCGAATAAGAAAAAACTACTGGATGATGAAGTCGAATATATTCTGAAAATGACTTCGCTGAACCTTTTTCTAGTTGGGCTTCTCCACCTTGTATGTTGGGTCATCAGAAGGACCTCTGGTGGTCTATACGGATCACAATCCTTTAGTTTTTCTGCACTCCTTACAAAACCCCAACCAAAGGCTGATGAGATGGTGTTTGTTTCTTCAGAGTTACTCTTTGGATATACGCCATATTAAAGGCGTAGAGAATGTAACTGCTGACGCCTTGTCCCGTGTTTAAGTGCTTTAAAGTCTGTTTTCTCTGACTGTGTCTCTTTTTCTTTCTTAATTTTGCTTCCTAGGCGCCAGGTTGCTGAAAGTGAGAGAGTTGACGGGATTGGGGAGAATTGCAGGCCGAACCAACTATTGCTACTTGGACAAATTGAGTGGTGGGAGTTGTTTGTTTTTTATTAAGACTCTGTGCTCTCTTCTTTTTAGGGGGGGTGTGTGACGGGTCTCCGGTTGTTCCCGCTGTGTCGACCGGTGGGTGTGACTGGGAGACTCATCAAGAGAATGATGTACACCTGTGTAGGATCATCAAGTGATATACACCTGTATATAAGCTTAGGCTTTGAGAATGTGGAGTGAGCTTCGAGATCTTCAGAGCTGCAAGACTCTTGTGAGAGCTTTTGCTCCCGTACCTTCTTGTGTTGGGTTTGTTTTGTTTTCCTTTGCTAAGATTTGATCTTAGTTCTGTCTGACATCTTAACACCGCTTGTCAGACAGAAATGGCAGTTGTGTTGTAATTTATTTCCTGTTATATATATTTTTCTATTTATGTTAATAAATACACGTACAACCTGACCAACTTCACTATGTCCTCCACTCATTTGTCACGGCTTTGAGCCGGTCGTGACAGGTGGCGTTGGCTTTTGACTCCATCGAGCCGACTTTGAATCTGCCTTTTTCCGAACTCTTTCTTCTCCCTTGGCTTTTCCCATCGCATATCATCTCCAAAAGGTGTTTATTTGAAATAAAAACAAAAAAAATATTCAAAAAGTGGAGATAAAGAGCCAAATGGGTATATAATAGTGGGATTAAAGTGTTTAACGGGTAGGGTTAGGGGTAGCTTTAGGGACAGTAATGTCCCAATAAGTCTGTTTATGATTGATTTTAATAAATATAATCATATACGCTGAATATGTTGTTATTACTGCTGTTATATAATATACTACAATACACTGAGCAAATAGTAGGCCTATCTGACACTAGATGCACTAAGTATAAATAGCATCTCACAACTATTTACACTAGAAAATACTATTTTCACTTACATAATAAAATGTCATGTCTGCCACAGAATGAATGGTGACTTGAGATGGTGAAAATTACATTTGTTTACGACGAAAAACTGACAAAAACAGAATTCTAACATTGTCTGTATATAGACTGTTGGACGTTGTTAGTCAATAAACTAAACTAGTAAAATCCAAAGGTGCACATAATTGAAGAAACACCCAATAATAAACTATTGAACAATGGTCTTATATATATATATGATCTTTTGTGTAATCTTACCTAACCAAGGGATGAAAAACTTATATGCATAGTCATCTTTGGGTTCTGTCAAAAAAGCAAAATAAAGTCATTTTAAAAATGCTTGTTTTGGTTATTTAAATCTGAAATGTATCATTCAAACAGTCGATCAAAGATCAGCACCTGTTGTGGTGAGAATGGTCTTCACATATGATGGGTGGTGGATATTCAAAATGGACAGTGACGGGCCAAACCACAGTGGAAAAGCAAACGGATACTGTTTACACCACCTCATAATCTTTTCCAAATCATGTCCATCCTGCTGAAACTATAAAAAAGAGTTCACACAACTGTTATCAACATAACCCTCTAAAGTTATTAATCTCACGTGAATTCTTCCAATTCCTGCTGAAGAATGTGAGTGCAATGCAAGGCTCTTCTGTTTTTTGCCTTACAATATAACAATGTAATTGTTTAGTTGCAGTGAATAGACAATGGCTCAGGCATGAGGTTAATGTCCTCGCAAGATGGAGGTCAAATTCAGAGGATACATTTTGTAATATTCATGAATTTGCAACAAAAAAACACGTGAAAACTTGCACCAGCTTCACGTTTATGTCATGTACATCAGTGAGATATCCAATGGATATTAAAATATAATGATATATAAAATACTATGATGATATTTGAATTTTTAGGAGGATAAAACCCACAAAAGTTATTCAACAGGTATTTGAAACCAACATAAAAATCACTTCTCGTAAAAAAGCATGACTGGACTTCAAGCTTAGCTTATACCCAGCTAAAGTTCTAGCAAGATTCTCTCAAAGTTATGAGCAAACATTAGTAACATTTACAGAATGTTTGTTCAAAGTTATCTGGTCTTTAATCATTTTTCTCAACAAGTCAGCAACACTTTGAATTGGACAATCGTTTAACTTTTTCATTCAATAGTAACGTTCTCGTAATGTTTGCAAAATTATAAAAATGTAACGTTCCCTTAACGTTCGTATAACCACGAAAAAAAAAAACAGTTTTAAAACTATTAATAAACTGGACGTTTTTTGAACGCTCAGAGGACGATCAGAAATAAAGTTTTCAGTAACACTTTTCCGTCTTTAATTAATAACTTCACAGGAACAAATGAGTAACACACTATTAATATTCTAGTAACTATATTAACTAACAAGAAACTCTGATTCACGAATTAGTAATAGCACTCAGTTGAATGAGGTAGTTTACTATTAGCTAATCAATAACTACTATTTTTTCATACCTGCCAGATGACTACCAAGAACTACTATACAGGTTCATAATTAATGTGAATAATGCATAATTAATTCTAAATCAAAGATCATGGTCACCCACTAGTTATGACTCAAGAAGGAATTATAAATGATTTGGATCAGTATTCTAAAGTGAAAAGCATGATAAATCCCTAATATTGATAAGTCATTATAAGCTTTTGAGGTTTTTGTAAGGTGTTGGATAGTAATGACTCAAGTGTTACTACATCCTTATTAAGGAATTACTAATGATTTGGGTCAATATTCTTTTAAAGTGGAGATCATGGTAACCCACTACTAATGACTCAAGCCTTACCAAATCCATCAGAAGGAATAACTATCCAAAACATTACAAAAACCTCAAAAGCTTACAATCACTTTAGAATACCGTTCCAAATCATTAGTTATTCCTTCTGAGGAATTTGCTATTACTAACTTAAGTCTATATGGGTTACTATGATCTTCACATTAGAATTAATTACACTTTATTCACATTAATAATGAACCTGTAGATCTTAGTAGTCCTCGGTTGAGTATCAAAAAAGTTGTTATTGATTAGCTAATAGTGAACTACCTTATTCGACTAAGCACTAGCTACTTACTAATTCGTTAATCAGAGTTTCTTATACGTTAATAGCCTAGTAGTTACTAGAGTGTTAATATTGCGTTACTCATTTGTTCCTGTGTATTTATTAATGACGGAACAGTATTGTAAAGTGTTCCCACGATTTCATATCTTAGAAAAACCTTAGAGCATATTTTTGTTATCTGGGTAGTTGATGAGATTATTCATTCATAGCGGTAGTTGTTTACCTCCTTGACGTGTCCGAAGAGCCAGTGTGCAGGTGGTCCTGGAAAAGACTCCATAGTTCGCATTCCCCTCCTCCTCATTAACAGTAATCTAACCACGATCACCAAACACACAAGCAGTGCGAGTGTAAAGACATGATTCACTGAGAGAGCTTCCAAATTCAACGGGAGAATCCAGTAGAGCTGCATGACATGAGCTGAGCCGTCAGTCAGTCTCCTCTGGCTCTTCGTGGTCATTGATCTTGATGTGGGAAACTGGGAAAGAGGAAGTGATGAGGAGAGAGGGACGGACTTTCTGCTGCTGGACATAACAAACAACCTTTATACAACAAATAAACAATTTCATCAGGTTTGCTGATAGCTAGTTGATGTAGATACACTGTGAAAAAAAGTCAGGTAACCAAACAACAACAACAACAGCAACAGCAACAACACCCAAACATACAAACAAAAAAGTGTGTTAGTGTTGTAACAGGTAAATGGTTCATGATCTGAAAAGGTTAAAAGGTCGTGAAAAAACACACTTTTACTGTTTGCGGTAAAAAAATGTGCGCATTGGAAACGAATTTTATCTAGTGGAAACTTTTGGTAGCCTACTGCGCCCAAACAAAATCTCACTGAAAGCTCATGTTTTGAGATATCATGTTCAAATTTGGAACAGCTTGTTTAGATTTATGGCTTTGATTTTGTCACAGTTTTAGAATAAAAATGTTTAAGAAAATATATACTTCATATACAAATAGTATTTTTGTGCATTTTTCACAATAATAAAATTAAACTTCAATAACTTTTTTTTCACTTTATAGCAATCTGCCAAGTGTTGTTTTTAAAAGAGACCAAACTTAAGTCTGTGCTCCAAAGCATTCAAGATTTATGACAGTTTAAGTTGGAAGTTTCATTTTCAAATCTATATGCTCAAAAAGTGATTAATAATAAAAAAAATTGATCATAACTAGTCCATAAATGTAATTTAGTTACAAAAACATCCCCTAAAAATGCAAAATATTAAATAAAAATGTAACTAAAATATAGTACATTCAATTCATTGAAAAAGAAATTCAGTCCTTTTTGACAGCCACGCAAGCAGCACCAGAGGGTTTAGCCATTAACGATTATTATATAACGCTTCTTAGATCAGACCTTCTTATGTAATCAAATTGAATGATATACAACGATAAAAGAGCTAAAGATAAAAAGTTTAACAGCGGTGCAAAGAGTAATATGATATTAAACATTTCGGCTTATAAAAAAGGCAACTAGGCGTCTGTGGAGTGGTTTCAGTAGGTTCAAAATCATTTATGCATGAACACTTTTGTGCACAGGTTTTATACACAAATATTAGTGTACATACCTGAACATCTTATTTTGTGGTCTATAAGAGAAAGTCATGTTTTAAACGGCACTTGAATGTGTATTTGTAATTAAAATGTTAAAAGTAGCCTATATTTAAAAAAAAAAAATGTACGTGCAGCAGATAATATAATATTAATGAAATAAATTGGGCCCTCTTTTAATATTTAGCATTTTGTGCTATAACAACTATATCAGTCCATTTATTTCCTAAAATAACACATTGGCTGATGCATCATCATCAAACACATGCTAGACTTTAAAGTAAATTTCAAGTCATTATGTTTTAATAATCTTTTGTCATGCTTTAAAAATGACTTATTTTGATGCGTTGACTAACATAATAAAGCACATTTAAAGTACTTGATTATAATTTTAATAATATTGATTATTAAAATTATGTTAATATCACATTAAAAGTTAATACATTTAAATGTACTACATTGCAACTTCATCTTTACAAATGTGTTATTACAAATAAGAGTACATTACATGTATTTTCTGATTTGCTTGAGTTCTTGTCCCTGTGTTTTGGTTTGACCTAGTTTCCTTTTTTATCAGTTTTCCCGCCACTTGTTTGTTATTATGTTCCTGATTAGTCTTGTCTGTTGTTCTGTTGATTGCCATCCCTGTGTATTTTTAAGCCCTCAGTTTCTTCAGTCCTTTGTCTTGCATTGATGCTGATATTGTTATGCTGGTGTGTTACTTTGTTCCCTTGTTCATAAAAATTATTTGCTTTCATTTTCTTTCGTCTTTTGGATTATATCCACAGCAAGTGTGACACATACACGTTTCAACAGAAATGACATTAAAGTATATTTTAGTTTACCATACATGCTTGTCAGTGCATTCGGCAGTACACTTTACCCAAAAACAATAGAAGTAATTATGATTATAATTATATTTCCGTAATAATTACTCTTTTTAAAAGTCTCTTGAAGTGTACTTCTTTAAAATTCTTTATTCAGCCTTCAAATAAACATTTCCCCTCCATCTTGCCTGTCCACTGCTCACCGTCTTCATTTCTTGCTCTCTGTTAAGAAAAGAAGAGTGTGAGTTTGAGCATTATCTGACACACGAAAGCGATTCAGAAACCTCAATATGGCAGATAATTCAGCTGAACCGTTCAGTTGACCGTCCACTCACATGATGATGCGCAGCACTGAAGCTATCCTCTCGTCTCTCCTTCCAGCTGATGGTTTTCTGGATGTTCTGGCGTCCAGGATTCTCTATGATCATGTGATACGTCTGCATCATGCCGAGAGCACGGGCACTGCTCGCACACACCTGAGCCTTCTGCAGCCTGGGCACTGATGCCAGGTTACATGCAATCTCATATGCACGTTCAAAATGTACACAAGCTTCATCATATTGATTCTATGTACACAAACAAGCACACAGACACACACTTGTTATAAGAATACTAAGATCTCGACACACTACAAACACTCCTAATGTGCACAAAGGCCCTGTACATCTGTCTAGATAGGCGGCTCACTAGGTTTTAGAGCAGTGTTTATGACTTCTTAAGTCATATGTAGATTTAAGCAATTGCAAAGTTATTAGTTGAAGTTATCAAGCCTTACTCTAGAGTTGAGGATGGTTCCGAGGCACATGCAGGCTTTCTCTAGGTTTCGGTCCTGTTTGCTGTTTAGAGAAATCTCAGCAAACTTCTCTAAATATTCTGTTGCTTCTGTTAGGTTGCCTTCACTGGAACATACAAACACACTTAAGTCATAGAAGGAAAAGGAGGCTGATAGATTAGTCATTGTAGATTTGTAGATATACACATTCAGCAAGAACATACAGCTGCAAGCAGCAATTATTAGGGTCCAAGTACCATTAAGGACCCCCATCACCCTTGCAATAAACTGTTTGTAACCCTCAGGTCAGGCAGACGCCAGCGCTGTCATAAAACACGCACAGCGAGGATGAGGAACAGTTTTTTCCCTGCGGCAATCAGAGCCTTGAACTCTGCACTCTGAGCAATTTGAACTTTTAATACACTTTCAACATTTTTAACCCAGCCACTGAACTTTAACATTTGTACATCTGCCTGTCTAGTTTTAACTTATAGATAAAATAATATTCTTAATTCCTAACCATTGCACATTGACTGCATTACTATTGCACATGTAAAATAGCCATAACCATAATTTAATTATAACTTAATTATAACTTCCGCTATAACTTTTATTGTATTGTATGTATTGTATTTTTTTTTACTTCACTTGAGCACAGAAGTACAGTACATGTCACAAAAACATTTCACTGCGCATCTTGTATGAGTATGTGGCAAATAAAAACCTTTGAATCTTTGAATCATTAACCGTTTTTAATTGACTAAATGCCAGTGACTAACAAGTCAATCTATTAAAACGGTAACACTTTACAATAAAGTTCATTAGTTAACTACATTAGTTAACATTATCTAGGCATTAACACTACTTCTTCAGCATTTGTTAATCTTTGTTAATGTTAATTTCAACATTTACTAATACTTTATTAAAATCTTGTTAACATTAGTTAATGCACTGTGAACTAACATGAACAAACAATGAACAGCTGGATTTGCATTAACTAACGTTAACAAAGATTAACAAAAACAGTAATAAAGGTATTGCTCATTGTTAGTTCATGTTAGTTAATACATTAACTAATGTTTAATAAATGAACCTTATTGTAAAGTGTTACCATTAAAACTAAAGTATTTACATTCACCATGCACTTACATACAGGTTTATCACTGTAATACTGCCATCTTCTGGCTAAAGAAGGAGGGATTGAAAGTAGAAGTTAGAATGAGAAAGTGCCTATGCTGTTGACTGTATAATGAATGGTCCTTATATATATACTAGCAGTCAAAAACATAAGCAGGCACTTTCTCATTCTAAATTCTACATTCAATCCCTCCTCTGTTCCATCTCTGTTAATGTCTCTACTGCTAAACCAATCTATTGTGCAGGTCATCTTGTGCATGCTCACCTTAAGAGTACTAAGTCCTACCAGGTTAGATCAGGGATGGGGAACTCTGGTCCTGGAGGGCCACTGTCCTGCACAGTTTAGCTCCATACCTAATCAAATACACCTACAGTACAGCAAATCTAACCAAACTTCAGGATTGTTTGAAAATTACAGGCAGATGTGTTTGATTAGGGATGGAACGAACCTCTGCAGGACCAAAGTTTCCCATGCCTGCACTAGTTGTTTTTTTTCACAAACTTTTCTTGCTGACAATTATTTTCACACTCAGAGGCACCAAGTTTTTGTACTGTTGGTTGTTTGTAGGTGTTCCTATACTGATCGATGCACAATGGGTTGTGGAACTGGCCATAGCTTTTGTAAATTTGATCAAAAATGAGATATGTTGCTGGTAAAAAAAATAAGATCAAATTTATTTTTGACAGTAAATCAGTTTTCTTGTATACAAAAAAAATTACATTCTACAGAGAAAACATTCATATGCCTTATGTGCAGTGCATCAATATGAAGCAGGGTTATGCCTTGGGCAGACTGAGTCAGTATCCCAGCTCATGTTCCTTCCATCTCGCCCCCCCCTCTCTGTCCCTATAGGCGAATGTGAATTTCAGCTGTGATTTTCTACTAATTTCAGCATTCATAAATATTACACCATTCTAACACTAATAAAAAAATACTTGTTACTGTTACTGAAACAATCGTTGTCATAGAATACACTTGTCTGTCTGTTAACAATGAGTTGACAGTTTGAACGTTCTTGTTCACTTTCATTTATTTTGACGATCTGAGGTGAATTGTTGCTTTTAGTACGGCTATAAAAGACACAAAATTATATTAAAACTCACACAGACACTTTTAACATTAAATAAAGCACAAAAACAGTAGCCTACCCGAGATTATCACACTTTCTGTTCTCCACGACGTCGCAGAAATAGGACAAAAACTCTGATTAACATGGAAAAGATACTTTTAATCACGTGTTGCGTGTAGTTAGGACACGTTGTACGGCCGCATATTCATTACATGGTTCAAATGACACAATTCAGATTTTTTTCCTCCAAATGGCACAGATCAGAAATGACCTAAGAATGTGTAAGCAGGAAAAAAGCACATGGTTTCAGGCCTCATTCATATGTGGAAATAAATCTGATATGAATCAGATACGTGCAATAGCGTCTGACATGTAAGCTCGGATATTCCTCTGTCAATGCGAGTCGTACGTCATTAAAAAGAGACGGTGGCGAAAAACAAAATGGAGGAAATAGTCTCATCCCAATGTTGTGCGGAAAGCAAAAGCTTGTATTATCATTTTATCTACATCCATTGCAAATCATTTTTACTTCCTTTTCGGCCTAAGCTTTTCCGGGTCAGTGCATCTACCTTGGGTTGTTTCGCTAAATGTATA